GTTTCTATGCTCCGGAAGTATGTTGGGGACCCGTCCCATGTGTTAGACTTCAGCACGGTTCAGTTGGATGATGACTTGACTTATGATGTGGAGCCAGTGGCTATTTTGGGTCGTCAGGTTCGGAGATTGAGATCAAAGGATATAGCTTCGGTAAAGGTGCAGTGGAGAGGTCGGCCCGTTGAGGAAGCTACTTGGGAGACTGAGCAGGAGATGCGGAGCAGATATCCTCACCTATTTGAGACCTCAGGTATGCTTCTCGACCCGCTCGAGGACGAGCGTTTGTTTAAGTTGGGGAGGATGTGACGACCCAACCCGTCATCTCATGTGATACAACCCTGTTTCCCCCATTTATTGCTCTTTCATGTTTTATTATCACCAATGGGTGAGTTAGAGTTGAATTGAATTGGTTTGGATAGCAAATGAAACACTTAGTCTCTTTAAAGAAGGTTTGGTTTGGAAAAGTCAACCGAACATTGACTTATTAGTTAGAAAGCTCGGATGTGAATTCCGGTGATTCGGTTAGCTTCGGGAGCTGAATTGTGACTTAGGAGTGCGATCGGAAGTGATTTTGGAGGTCCGGTGTAGAATTAGGCTTGAAATGGCGAAGGTTGAATTATGGCGAATTCCGGTTGGTAGGTGAGATTTTGATCTGAGGGTCGGAATGGAATTCCAAGAGTTGCAGTGGCTTCGTTAGGTGATTTTGGATATGTGTGCAAAATTTCAGGTCATTCGGAGGTGTTTTGGTCGGGTTTTTGATCGAATACACAATTCGAAAGTTTTTAAGAATCTTAGGCTTGAATTCGATGTGATTTGATGGTTTTAGCATTGTTTGATGTGTTTTGAGGATGAGAACAAGTTTGAATGAGGTGTTAGGATGTATGGGTGTTTTTGGTTGAGGTCCCGGGGGCCTCGGGGTGAATTCGGGTGGTTAAACGAGAGTTTTGAGGTGTATTGCAGGTCAGATTTTGCTGTCATCTGGTGTTCCCGCTTCTGCGGAAATGGACCGCAGAAGCGGTACCGCAGAAGCGGGTATGTGGTCACAGAAGCGATCGTTGGCCGGCTGGGGAAATTCCACAAAAGCGGAAGGTGGCTCGCACCAGCGGGTCCGCATAAGCGGACACTGTACCGCAGAAGCGGACTTGAGGGAACCGCAGAAGCGGTGGTTGAATCGCATAAGCGAATAGGCAGTTTTTAAGTGAAAACCGCTTAAGCGGATTTTCGGCCGCAGAACCGCAGAAGCGAAATTCGTTGGTAACAGAAGGGTTTTAAATGTTAAATTTCATCCGCGAGCAAGGGGTAGTTTTCACCATTTTTAAGCGACTTGGAGAGCTTTGGGCGAGGATTTTCGAGGGTTTTGACTGAGAATCAATTGGAGGTAAGTCTCTTGGCCTAATTACTCGAGTTTATGGTACATTTATCATAGAAATCAATAGAATTTCATCAAAAACGGATCAAGCTAGGGCTTGGAAAGCTGTGATGTAAAAATAGAATTTGGAGGGTCAAACGAGCTCCGATTTTGGTAAATCTTATATGTACGGACTCGTGGCGAGACGAGGAATCCAGTGATGTAAATTTCGTAATTTTTCGAGAAGTGGGCCCGGGGCTCGGGTTTTGCCAACTTCGTGAATTTTAGTGTTTTTCGAGTCTTTTCGACTGGGTTATGTTTCTTTAGCCTATTGTAACGTATTCGTTGTGGTTTTAATCAGATTCGGCGTGCGAAGAGGTTGATTCGAAAGGCAAAGGCATAGCGAGCTAGACTTGTGGCCGGTTTGAGGTGAGTAATAGATCTTGATGATGACCTGAGGGTTTGAAACCCCGGTATATCACATTATGACGCTATATTGAGGCGAGACACGCACTCTAACGAGTGCCGGGTCGATTGTGACTGGGGATTGTGACCCAGTCCGTTCCGATTGATGTTCGTACTGTGTTCTTGACTAGAAATTGTTTGGTAATCATCCTACTTGGATTTTATGAATATGTTGGGGCTTTGTGCCTATCATTTGCATCCTTCAGGGATCCTTATCACTGTTTCCATGATACTTAGAATATTTCATAATATCAGTCCTGAGTTAGACACTGTTTGAAATGTTTAGTAAATAAATGAAGACTTAAACACATAGCTCTATAACTCCTAATAATTGAAACTAAAAGATGAACACTTTGACTGTGCCCGAGTGACTTGCATGCATATATATATATATATATATATATATATGTATATCTGGACTGCGTGTGAATCGGGCTGCACGCCGTAGCGAATGTTACGATGATATTGCGCTTGGGCTGTAGGAGCCCCTCCGGAGTCTGAACCCCCACAGTGAGCGCGGGTACCCAAATGGATCGGGCTGTGCGCCGCAGCGGTCATGTGCATTGCATTGCATCCATGCATTTTATGTCTGTTGGCCTTAATTGTCATTGCTTGCTGTTGTTTTTATCGTTTAACGTACCGAATTACTGATTATAGCTTTATATTGTAATATTTCGGGATTTCTTACTTTCAGCCATTATATATATTTATTACTCACTGAGTTGGAAGTACTCACTTTACTCCCTGCACCATGTGTGCAGATTCAGGTGCTCCGGAGACTTAGTGGAGCTGTTTGCTGTCTTCTTGAATTTCAGTTTAGGAGTTGTTGAGGTAGCTGCCTGACGTCCGCAGGACCCGACTTCTCCCCTTTATTGCATTTGTCTTTTCCTATCCTAGACTTTCTTTATTACTATGAATATATTACTCTGTTACATTTAGAGGCTCTAGACTCGTGACTCCAGATCTATTGGGGAATGTTGGGATATTCGTTATTATTTTTCCATACTATTTTATTAGTTTCGGATTGGAACCTTGATATTTTCTATTTTAATCGTATTATTTGTTAGCGGATTGCGTATCTGGGTTGAGAGTATTTAGATTGGTCGGGCTTGCCTAGCATTAGTGTTGGGCGCCATCACGACCGGGATTGGGGTCGTGACAGTTTACTATTAATCAAGGGGACAACATGGGGAAAGAGGAGGTGCGTAATAAATTTAGAGCCTATAGGTAAAAATAATAAATCGTTTAAAGATGGGCAAAAACAGGTAAATAATTTGTCTTTTGTAGGCATATAGTGTAGTCTCCCCAATATTAATAGGTTTTTGATTCAGATAAATAATATCTTATTCCTCCTCACTATATGAAATAAAAAATAAAAAATAAATTTATCTCAAACCAAAGAAGTATAGCATTAAGTATAACCAGAACAACCAATAAAAAATACGAAACACATTATAATTCTACTGTAGTGGCTATAATAAAAAGTAATCAACTCAAAATCCCCATATTTATTAGGTATGAAATTTTTTATTGAAATAATGGGGCAAGATATACTCAAATCACATGAAAATATTTATTATTATGTAAACAAGTAATTTGAGTGACAACGATATATAAGAAGATAATCACTTTGGTTTTAAGGATTATCGATCGAACTTGAGATGCGTATAAGTTTAGTATGAAAAGTTTGACCCTTATTACTCGTACTTTTTCTTTAAATTCGGGTGTAATGAAAGATCGAATATGTACATTATGTTGACTAGTTTATTGAAAAGGAAGAAAAAAAACATATCAAACAATGATAACAAACTAAGTTTGAATATATTACATCTTTAATTTTCAGTGGCATCTCTTCTTTTGAACCTCCTATCAGGGTCCGGGTTCCCTTTGACGGCATTGTGAGCGTTGTGTTTGTAGTGGTCCTGCTTGTGAAGAGGATACTCTTTGATGAAATGTCCCACTTGGGACTAAGTGTTTAAGTTCGTGACCAAGAATACTTGCCTGGGATAAAGCTAAATAGAATTATTGGTTTGCTTAAGATGAGCTTCTCATTCACATTAGTGAGTTCTGGGGAGGGTAGTGTGTATGCAAACCTTACCCTTACGTGAGGGAGTAGAGAAGCCTCATTCACATATCTGTGTGTTATTAAAATAGGAAGTAGTTAAGACCAATTCACAGTTACTGGGGCTTACTTCGTGCCATTAACTTCTATGTTAGATTTATTTTCTTTCATTGTCGTTGTAGTCAATCTTTGATAGAAACTTCCTTCTGGTAGTGGACAACTGATGTAGTTGTCATAAGTACCTACCGCAACTAAATTTTGTCTCTGCAATTTGTGTTCTTTGTTACCACCATTCAGTGACACAATGATACAAGAACCACACCCCAAGAGCTAGCTATTTAGGTGGGAGAGCCCCAAGCTATAAAAATCCCACATCAACACATTGCAATACTGATTTGGGACTCAAGTCCCATACTTTGTAATAGGCCATAACAAACCACCACACTCCACATTTGTCATCCCGACGGCTGTGCGCTGGACTTTTATAGCCCCGGGCGAACATTGCAATACCGGTGTCACCATCTATGGCACAGTGGGTACGGAGGGCGGTGAGTGGCTCCAATACCATTGATACAACCCATGGAGAATCTAATACCATTGATATAACCCAAGGAGAACCAGACCCCAGAAGCTAGCTATTAAGGTGGGAGAGCCTAAGACTATATAAATCCCACATTGCAATACCAATGTGGGGCTCAAGCCACATACCTTGCAATGGACCATAACACACAAAATAGACTTAGGGATGCTAAAGTTACATAAGGCCAAGTCCACGGAGAAAGAGATGGGGTTGATGTAGCACTATGAACCACTCATGGCTTCATTTTTTCGTATTTCTTCTTACAACATTATATCAGTAGAACTTGGATTATGAAGTAATGCAGTCTTGAAATATGCATCGTATTCCCACCGAAGTAATTTGAGATAATAGCAGATGAAAATGGTTAAATCTGCATATAGCATGTGGCATGAATAGATAGGAGGAAAACTTAAAAGTTAGAAAAGCATATATAATTGTTCTTTCGGGGACATTCGATAAAAACAAAAGCATATGTATAATGTAATTGCGGTTGAAACATCACATTAGTAAAAGCAGGCAAAGGTAAAGAAATTTTCTTCACAAAAACCTCAGCATGTAACAACAAAACTTTAATTCCAGTAAGAACTTTGAAATTTAATTCATTTACATAGGAAAAAAATATAATAAATTAAATATATAAGTACAGAAGAATAACATTGCAATGAACTTCGCTACGGCATGAGGAGACCCTGCAAAGTAGCATTAGTTACTCTTGTTTGGCGTGTCCTTGAAATTTTTCGAATCGACTCTTCACCAACAATGTTGAATCCTTTCTCAGTATAGGTTCAAAATAATTCTATCCGATCCATGAATCTTGTGATAAGATAACACGAACAAAATAATATATCAGATACAATCCTATCCGATTCTTTGGCCGAGGGTCTATCGGAAACAGTCTCTCTACCCTCCCCAGATCGCACTTGTGGGATTTCACTGGGTTGTTGTTGTTGTTGTTGTTGTTGTTATACAATCCTATTTCTTGTTCAGGCAAGACGATTGGTTAATCACCTGGTTTGGGAGCATTGGTCATATCTTTCATTGTTCTTTCAGATGAATGTAGATGAACTTATCTGATGTAAATGTAAACATAAAGAAGGAAGCTTTATTCGTGTGTAAATTAATTAATGCAGGTTTCAGTTCACTGGGTTCCCTTGCGGAGATGATATCTCAATACCACAAGCTGCCATCGTTTCAGTAACTTCTCTCAACCAGAGCAACGTTAGAAATTATAGGCATTCTTCTTACTTTGTTTTTTTAATTGGGTTCTTAAGTAATTAAGAAGGGTGTAAAAGCTGCTACTGTTTCATCAAATACTCTAAGGCAACGTTAGAAATTTTAGGTGTATTTTATGGTTTTATTAAATGAAAATAGGGTATTTAATTATGTAATTATGAAGGGCATTTTAGTAATTTAACTTTTAAGTTTGAGGTTCTTGTATAGGTCGAAATCTGATCAAAAGAATTTCACTTAGGGAAGAACGACCAGGAGTCAACCAAGCCGAAGTCACGTACAAGAAGCAACACATCGGCGAATGATTCAGCTACGGTCGAGGTCAAACACTCAGTTCGACCCGAACGGATAGCTCAACACTTAGACATTTCAGAGGAATATTCTACGGGATATTCCAAGAACTTAGGTACTCCGGTCAAAGACCGCTGGGTAAGAAAAGTATTTGGTATAAATATCATGAGAGAGAGTAATGTGGGGGAGAGGGGGGGGGGGGGTAAATTTCATCCCTATGAAGGAGAAGATGCTCCATCCTCCCAAGCTCTTCGGAAAAAGGGGGATAAATCTCAGGATCTTGGCATCTATCTGTAGATTAACTTTATCAAATGTGTGGAGGTCTGTCTAGTTCAAGAATGGTGATTCTTCTCCTTTATGTATTCGTCGCTATCATTTAATATTATTGAAGCCATCTTCCTTTTCCTACATTATGGAATCAAATCGCGACTATAATCAACTTTTACGTTCAACTATGCTTGTTTATCCTTGTTTTCCATCTCAGATCTAGAATAAATTTTCTCTGACTAGGATTTACCCCATATCTTCTTATTTAATTGATTTAATAAAAAAGCTTGAAATTTTTTGGTCAAACAGTTCTCACTTTTAATATAGTACTAACTTCTCGTTGCACGTGTATGCTCGATCATGGAGTAAACAGTTAGTAAAATAAAATCGATAAAACTAAAACAGACATTTTGAGTAAATAATTATACATGAAGAACAAAATTAAAAATAAAATAAAAAATCTCTGATCAATGTGAAGCTCAACGCAACAAAGTAGTGTTCGAACTATAACAATTCTTCTGATATATCAAATATTTAGCTTGATCACTATTTCCTTGTTTTGGAATATTTCAACAAAAAATTTAAATGTGAATGTGAGCAATTGTAGCCTCCCAAATACAACAACAACAACAACCCAGTATAATCCCACCAGTGAGGTCTGGAAAGGGTAGAATATACACAGACCTTACCCATACGTTCAAGAATGCAAAGAGGCTATTTCTGGTAGACCCTCTGTTCGAAAAAGATAAAAGAAGGACAACTGTAGCCTCCCAAATCCGAATCTAAAAGTCTCGGTGGACAAGCACATTAGCTTATAATGAAAAGAACCTACCTGATCATAAAATTTTCAATTTTCACTTGAAGATGCATTTTGGATTTTTCGAAAATTTTAAAAACTCCAAAAAGCTATTTTTCAAAATTTTCACTCAGATTACTCACAAAACTTAAAAAATAACCCAAAATTATATTTATGTCCAAATACAACTCTAATTTTCAAATACCATTTTCACTTGAAATTTTTTTTTTTACTTTTTTTTTGGGAATTTTACAATTCTTATGTCCAAACGCCCACAAAGGAAAACGATTTAATAGTTAATTTTCACTCATCACATGCTTGACATTCTCCAATGTTTAACCTATAGCTTCCTAAGAATATTTCCTATCTTGGAGCGCATAGAGGTATTCAACGTATTCGTCTTCTCTGCGACTTAATTTTGCTGCGCTAACTTTTACATCTCACTTGGACCATAGAAAAAGAAAAAGAAGTAACTCTAACCTCATAGAAGTAATTCTGGCTGTGAGATCCCTAAGTGTAACATATGTATCTCTTCCACTTAGAAAAACTATCAACCTTTAATGGATGAACTGAAGAAGCCTGAACCAAGTCATGCCATATAAATATGGCTGAATATTGTATCACATTGACTTCAGAAATTAAGGTTCCAACTAGGGGTGGCAAAATGAAAAAAAGAAAAACAGTTAACCACCCATATTATCCACTAGAAAATGGGTTGGATAATGAACTTTTTAATGGGTCAAATATGGATAATAACCATATTATCCATTTAGAAAATGGATAATCAATGGGTAACCAACGAATAACCAATGGTTCTAATTTTTTTATTTGTGAAGCCTCAAATAGGGGGTTCCTCAAGTTAGGGAGACTAAGAATTCTACCAAAAGTGATCATATGCAAGAAGTCACGGATAATCACCCATATTATCCGCCGGTTAACCCGTTTTTTATCCGTATTAAATATAGGTCGGGTCGAATAATTTATCCGTTTTTTCATTATCCGTTTTCGACCCGAACCATATCCGACCCGACCCGCCCGTTTGCCACTCCTAGTTCCAACTAACAATCTTACGTCCATACCAGTGATTTTAAAATATTCACTAGGATGCTCGAAAAGCGAATAAAAACTATATGGCTACAACAACAACTCAGTGGAATCCCACAAGTGGGTCTGGGGAGGGTAATGTGTACGCAAACCTTAATCCTAAACCGGAGGAGTAGGGAGGCTGTTTCCGATAGACCCTCCACTCAAGAAGATGAAAAGAGACAATGGAAATAAATATTACATCATGGCTAATGACACAAATAGTGGCATTGTCAAATGCAAAAATGAAGAGGTCAAACACAGGAATCTTTTACAAATTATAAACTCTGAAGAAGACATCTTAGAGTTTCTTCCCCCGGTACCCCTTCAAATTTTTATCTTTCATCTTCAATGTACCAGTGTTATCTCCATGGTATTTCTCAGTTCTCATCTCCAATTCCAAATGAAATCCAAGTGAGACTCTAAAGTCTACTGTTATCTTTTTCATAAATTAATGGGTATTATTTTTTCATAATTAGCACAGAGTACCAGACATAAAATTTGTTACTTTCCTTCTACTTTCATGTAAAGAAAAAAACAATTTATTTCTTCCTCTACTAAGCAGTCAAATCTTTCACGAAACTCAAGCAAATCGCACTGGTCTCATTACAACAAAGAATTACAGAACAAAGAAATCAAAAGAATGATAGCAAAGCTTAATTACTGAAAATACCAAGACCTTACCCTCGTCTCATTATCCGTTTCTTCCGCAGTCTCTGCATCCTCACCATGTATTCCATCATAGAGTCCTCAACATCAGAAGCCAAAAACAGATTGAAGTTTACTTTCTGTCAGTGGGCCAAGTAAGTCCGTTGACAAAAGGTTGTCTCTATCTAACTATCATCATCAAATTACATATATTACGAAATTACAGTTTTTAATACAGGATAAACCACATCGTATTAAACAGCATGAAGTATAACATAATTTTGAAAAATAAAAAACGCACCTCTCGTTGGCTGGTACATATAATGTTAGGATGAATTTATGCCACGATATGGAACTCATCTCTTTCACTTCCTTTCATGTTACTGAATCTCTTGGTAGTGTCTTACCAACAGATATTACCCTGAAAGCATGCCAAGAAACCGGTTCTATGGTGGGCTGGTGAACACAATGATGAAATTTAAATTAAATCTCACATGATCGTGCACTCTTCAAGCCTTCCATCTTGAGCCCATAACATGACGTCTCAATGTTCAACTATATTCCGGTCCCTGCAAACATATTTAGAGGCTTCCTAATCAAAATTTAGAACAAATGTTGACAGTATAAAAGTAGTAATAAGCGATAATAGAAGAACAAAATAAGTGAATAAGTGAATGAGAGAATTCCCTTTGGAGGTATAACTACAGAATGTGGAACTTTGTGAAGGAGCATACCTCTTCGTAACAATAAGTAAGCGTCTTTTCGTTTAAATACCCTTCCATAAGCGTTTTTTTTAATTAGGGTACTTAATTTAAATAGGTTAATAATTAAAAGGGATATTTTGGCAATTTACTTTTAACTTAAGGCCTTCCCACTTTTAATATAGTATAGATAGATAGATATAGATAACAAAAGTTTATCCATTATAAACTAGAGACCAGTAAATGCTTTTCATTAAGAGGGAATCTCTGTGATCCAAATAAAAGCAGATAGGAGGTAATCTCGAGACTTATTTCAACAAGGAAATAAGAGAACAGCCATCCATGTAACTCACATTATTCAAGGTATTTCTATTTCACTTGGAAGTTTATTTCTCTCTTTTATACGACTTTTACTGCCCAATACCCCCTTATTGTTGCCAAAAAGAAAAGGATGGAAGGAAGCCCTCAGGGCTTTCGTCTAGGGGTCAGAGCACAGCATATGAGGTGTGGGTTAGGTGCACATCACACTGATTCGGACCCTGCCGCATATAAAAGCCTGGTATTTAAGTGGAGAAGAATAAATAGATGGACCCCTTATACACCAAATTTCAAATTGTGGGCATAGGTTTTCGGGGATTCCTCGATTATCAAAAGAAAGAAAGAAAGAAAAAAAAAAGGGATGGAAGGAACAGATAACTAAAGAGTTCCCTTACATATTTCAGGAATAAGGTGAAATAGCTCATGGAGTTTTTTCTTCTGATGGATGACAGACATAAGGTGGAAGACAGGTTTACTTCGGACGGGTGACAAACACAAGGTGAAATCACAAATTCTTCATGCAGTAATCCTGCATGCCTATTCTCAAATATAAATAAAAGCAGAAAAGCAAGAATCTTAAGCGAAAAAGGAAACAGCATGCCCTTAAATGATAAACCATAATCTTATCCATGATGTTAATACCATGTTTTTGAAGTAACTCGAACTAACAATTTTAGGATGTGATTCAAAATGTCAATGAAGGTGTTATGACCTTGACAATTCTATCCATCAACAACATAATTTCTTCAAGAATCTTCCTGGAGGAGAAATGGGCTAGATTTGGCTGTGCTATGATGTCAGTTATAAAGATGTCTTCCTTATACGCTTATTATGCTCAACAGTAAAATGCAAGAAATGCATGAATATCCGAGAGGAATCCAGCTCCTAATAAAGCATGTCATGACTTTTTTCAATACTCACAAGAGATAAGAACTTATACTATCTACCACTTATAGAATGAATAAATAGACAGTCTAATGAGTAAAGGAAATGAAACATTTCTGTCTGTCTCTGTGTCTATTGACCTGCTATAGTCACTGCCATTTTAGGAAGAACACGTTAACTATTGTATTTTTCTTTTTCTTTTTTTGATAAGGCAAGAAAAACTTTTATTTCATTGACAGGTACCGAGCAGGTAAGTATTGTATTTTTCCGCACAACAAAACAAAAAGATCTCAATAAAAAACCTAAATTAGCTGCCAAAGATAAACAGGAAAAGTGCAATTTTAAGAGGAATATGTACAACAGTACAAGGCAATGAATTACGGCCATACAGTTTGATTCAAATTTCAAAGGATACTTAAGATGCTGTATAGCAGAATAAACCTTAATGAAGAGCTATTTCATTTTGTTGATGAAGAAAACAAGAAGAGTAAGTGGTCATAAATTTGTCATTTGAAAAAATCACTAAATTCATTCAATATTTTCCATGACATACAAGCACTAAATTCTTTGGCTCCTTTATAACACCTCCTTCAACCTAGGAAAGATTGATTCACCCCGATTAACCGAACATAACTTCTTCCACAACCTCAACTGATTCACTTTTATCAACATGATATTACTTTAAAGTTGCAACCCGTATATGCAGACTAAGCGCCATAATTTCCCTCATCTGTTGTACCTATGGCTGCTTTTTCAGTGTGTGTTCCTTTGCTAGAGGAGGCATTGAAATGAATTGATTTCAGTTTTTAGTATAGAGGGATATCCGCAGTACGTGTGCAGGTATATTTTATTTGTTGGGTAATTTGAAGGCATTCAACTTTACCTAGTAAAAATAGGCATATGTCTCTTCCTATTATTTTTGAATGTCTAACAAACGGTTTATGCATATAATAGTATAATTCTATGATAAATACTATACTCACATGACATGTTATTAAACTTGTGTAACCATTTCCACTGGGTGAGTCTCTCGTATAGAAAAGAAAAGCGTGAATCTTGGTTCTGGTAGCTAGTGTTATCGAGAAGTGTCAAAGGCAACAAATTTATCACTGAATTCCATTTTATCACTGAATTTTCTTGTTATGGTTCCTTGTCCACTCATAAAATGTCATCATTAGAAAAGCTCGGATAACACACGTCCCAGCTATGGAGGCTGTAGGTGAGTTTGTGAATCAATACATTCCCTGGATAAACTCTGGTATTATGTATGAAGAACAGATGCAAGTTCCAAAAAAAAAAGGTATTCTAGAACTACTCCACTCAATGATGTTTCATATGATTGCTTTTTCGACAAGCTCTTGCCATAAAGATGACATATGTTGCATACAGATATGAAAAACTTGACGTGCTTTTTGAGCCATTTTTCATCTGTTAGAGAGGCCCACTCTAATGCATTAAGAAAATATGTTCACAGTGGCCAGAATAGAAAGACTCGTTCATAAGAGAACTATTGATGCCTTGTGTCCCCTTATAACTTAGGATTAATGGTGATAAAGGTGATAGTTCCATATCCCTTGTTTAACTAAATGATTGGTTTAGCAACAAAGAGTGTGGCCCAGTGGTCAATGAAGTGGGAGGAGAGTCATGAGGTCTCAGGTTCAAATTTCAGTAGAGGCAACAAACACTAGGTGACTTCTTCCTATCTGCCCAAGCATTGGTGGGCGGAGTTACTCGGTAACTATGTTGGTGGGAGGTACCTACTGGAATTACTCAAGGTGTGCACAAGCTGGCCCAAACATCGCCTTCATAAAAAATGATTGGTCTGCCTATTAGTTTCGGACATGATTTCCATGTGTTAGATCATGCTCCTTATGCTATCTTGTGCTTCAAATATGACGCTAAGTATGTCAAAAGAACTAGACCCAGCAAATGTGATTTGAATGGCTAGGAAAAGATAAAAAGAAAGCCACTCTGTGCCACCAACTACAGTTTCAAATCCAGTAATGGTGAGTGCTTTCTAAATGTGGAAAGATCACCGGTGACCGGCCTGACAAGAAGTCAGACACTTACAGATGATCATTAGTCAAACTACTATATCACTTCAAAAGACAGCATATTAATTCCAAAAGTGGCGGGGGTATCAAAGTTTTAAAGGTGACATCTCCAAAATCAAAGAACCCCCTGGCATATACCTATGTCACCTTTTCGCGAAGGAAAAGACCATCAAGTAAGCATCCAGCCACAACCAATTTAACAATAAATATTCAGTTAAATCATGAAATCTGAATAAATTCGACATCACAATGAAATGAAGATGTATAAAATACCTACATACTATTGAATATGAGTGACCGGATGTATCCTAAAAGGGCAGCCTGGTGCATTGAGCTCCCGCTATATGCGGGATCTGTTCTTATGTTAAAAAAACATTCATGCAGAAAGATATACTTTACAGATAAAGAGAGACCTCCAATGTATGAATTTTAAGAAGTCACGTACCTCCATCTTTGACAGCTAAGTAATCTTCGAGTACTATCATCATTTGGTTTTCCCAATGGCAGCCAAGATTTCCAATAGTTCAATAACGAGAGGAAAAAAGAAGTTCATTTCTCATTTCTTGGATGAAACTCTGGTATCATATTAACCAAAAAAGGACCTTCCCCTATTAACAAAAGTAGTTCTATTAGCAGTGACATTGTGGCTTTACCAGCTGGGAAACCCCTTCCAACAATTTCCTTCAAAAGAGCAATCGCTTCATTAGCTGTATTACTCTTGAGAAGTCCATGCACAATAAGATTGGAAGTGGCATTCTCAGGGAAAGAACCATTGTCCTCCATTTTTCTTAGCAACTCTTTGGCTTCATCTACTAAACTTTCAATACAAAGTCCATTTACTGTTACATTGTATGTTATAGCATCAGGGTGCAACCCTATGGAATAAAGCTTATCAAAAATTGAACGAGCTTTATCAAGCTTCTGAATTTTAAAAAATCCACCGTTGCCTGTATTATAGATCAAAATATTAGTATCTTCTTTTTGTTTATCCCACCTATGAAAGAGGGACATCGCTTTTTCAACATGTCCATTCTTTAAATAACCATGAAGCATTACACCACAAGTGTAAATGTCGGGACTATGGCCTGCATTTTGCATCTCAGAAAAGAAACTTTCTGCACACTCAACTCTACCAACTTCAAATAGACCTTGCAAGATAGTACAATATGTAACAATATCAGATTTTAACCCCTTTTGCGAGATTTCACAATATAAATGCATAGCCTCGTCTAATTTCTTTTGCTTGCAATATCCATTGATTAATATGTTGTAACTAAAGATGTCAGGCTTGATGTCAGAAGCAACCATAGAGTCAAAAACTCTCCTTGCTACATCTATTTCAGCACGCAAACAATACCCTTCCATTATCGCATTGTAGGTAATTGCATCTGGCCTCTGACCTCTTTGGATCATTAGCTGTAACACTTGTACAGCATCTTCAACCATCCCTTTCTTGCAGAATGCATCTACCAACATGCTAAATGTGTGCACGTTTGGAAAAATATGAAGAAACATCATCTCATCCAAAAGAAGCCTAACCTTTTCCCACTGATCCAACTTACACAAACCATCAACCAATGAACTATATGTAAGTACGTTGGGAGTAATGCCTTTCCGTTTCATTTCATTGAAAAGGTTGAAAGCAGCACCTACCATCTTGTCTTTGCAAAGCGCATCTACGACAATGCTATACACAACAGTGTTAGGTTTGGGATCCCCTTGTTCCATTATCCTCAGCAAACTAAGAGCTGTTTGAGTATGTCCTTTTTTACAAAGACCATTCATGACGGTACCATACATAACTTCATCAAGCTCACAAATTTTCTCAGTGACCAGCTTTTGAAACAACCACATGGCATCTTGAATCTTATTTTGTTCAAAAAGCCCCCTCGTAAGAGTGCTGAAAGTAACCACGTTACACTGAACACCACTCTTGAAGAAAATACCCAGAACTGAAAACCCATGTTCAGCACGATCCAACAAGCAAAAACAATTAATCACAATAGTCAAGATATAATCATCAAAGGATATCCCCAGTTTCCTCATCTCTGTAAAATATGAAACAACGGCAGAGTAATGTTTCATATTAATCATCACCCTAAACAATTTTGCAAACTCTATAACCGAAGGAATAGGTTGTGTTCGGACCATTTGATGAAAAACGCAAACAGCATCGTTTAAATTATTTACATGTCTCAACTCCCTAAAAACAGCAACTTTACGCTTTCTAGAAATCGACGGCTTTTCTTGAAATGAAAAATGTAAAGCAGAACAAGAATGAAACATAGTTGCACGGCGGCCAAGTGATAAAGCAAACAATAAATTACCTCTGTTACAGAGAGGTTTTATCCATGAATGAGAGAGCATGGTGGCTGCTCTGTTTGTTCCTCATTGTCTACGTTTCTTGCATCCTTCCGAGTTTTGTGCTCAATTGCTCAATGGACTGTTGAATCGGGTAATTAAGATTCGGGCTAATTTTGGATGATACCCGATTGACACGGCCAATTGGGTAATTGGGGGTGGAAACGACACCAGGTAGCCATTTTTAAATATTCTATTTAAAATATATCAACAATTTCTGAAAACGACGCCCTAGAGTTTAAACCTCAAAATTAAAACTTCAGGACATTGTATCATAAAGTTCGAAAATTGTATTTTGAAGTTCGAATCTTATGTCCTGAATTTTAAATTAGTAGTTTAGTAATTCAGGACACTTAGTCCTGAATTTCAAATTAGTAGCTCAAAAATTCATGACACTAAGTCGTGAATTTTTAAATTCAAGATACTTAGTCCTGAAGTTTGGGTGAATTGGCTAATTTTTAAATACATTATAAATTGTGAATATATTTTAAAAAGCGGACTTATAAATAGTTATTGCTACACTTCGCCCTAATTGGAGGGGGCTTTTGGGCCGCCATTCGAAGTTATATTCGTATTAGGAACAATACATAATTACCCCCCTAGAATTGTCTCCCCTTTACACTTTGCAGAACTATGTAATTTCTTTTTTATTACTATTTATTTTATTTTATTTTAGCTTTTCTTATTGGTTTCCTTTTCTTTCTTTTACTTTCTACTTTTCCTCTTTCTTATTCTTTTTTCCATTTTCTCTTTCTTCTCGATGTCCCATCTCACTTTCCCACGCAATTTTCTCTATTCTTCTTTTCTCCATTGTAGATAGATGTCTTTGAAATTGAACGGAATTAGGGAGAAAAAAGAGTATGAAATGGGTTATAGATTGAGGAATTGAGCTCCTTCTCCCTTTGATATGGGTATGCGCGGGTTAGTTTTTATCACTTTATTCCTCCTACTTTTTCGTTGGAAGAGAGAACGAAATGTGAGACACAAATTAAAGCCACTGATTAATTTGTCAGGTCGAAAAAAAATCGGTGAAATCATTTGTCTTTTTTCTGATTTTATTTCTAGTTCTAAAGAGGGGTATTTTGGCAAATAGATGGAAGAGGAATGGAAAAAAATTATTTGGAGAATTATGGAGATAAAATAAAGGTCAAAACAACAATCGATCTTTTAGCCAAAGCTCGGCGGAAATTGATTTTCTTTATTAATCCTTTTCTTTTGGGGGTATTGAACCCACAATACTCGAGTTCGAAAATTAAAAATCAATTGATGAATTACATTTGAAAGTATTTGGTAAAGGTTTGGCTATGGGGAGTTGAGGTGAGGCGCTAATAGGAATAAAGGAGAAGAAAAGAAATAAGAAAAATAAAAGAAGGGATAGAATAAAAGAATTAAAAAAAATGAAAATGAAAAATGAAAAAAATATGATATTTTTGGTGCTTTCACGAGCAGTCAAACCAGAAATATGCCACATTAGCTCAAAAGGTGATATTAATTACGGTTTGAACAAATATAAGGGGTAACAGGACCCCCGTAAAATGTAATGGGCATCTCGTAAAGGAAGACAACTCCGGGGGTTTATGTATTATCCTTTCGTATTATATAAAAGTTTGCAAAATTTACCCACTAGGACCTAAAGTAGTTCATCTATTCAATATAACTTCAGAAATCAAATTGTTAATTTTTTAATTTTTCAAGTGCAACTTCAGAAAATTTGAGTCTTAAGTAATTACTCCCTCTGTTTCAATTTATGTGAATATGTTTGACTGGGCACGGAATTTAAGAAAAAATAAAGACTTTTTGAATTTGTGGTCATAAACAATTCAAAAAGGGGTCCAGAGTATTTGTGTGGTTATAAAAGCTTCTCATTAAGGGCAGAATTGGAAGTTTAAGCTAAATTATTTCCAAATTTAAAAAGAGGTCATTCTTTTTTGAACGGACCAAAAAGAAAATAGGTTCACATAAATTGGAACGGAAGTAGTATATCTCTTTAATGCAATTTCAGAAATCAAATCGTAAGTTCTTTATCTTTGAAATGCAACCTAAGAAAAAACGAATCTTAAGCAGTTATATCTTTTCAATTCAACTTCAAAGATCAAATTTTAAATTCTTCTGAAATGCAACTTTAGAAAATTCGAACCTTAAGTAGTACCAACCACCACCGCAACCAACATGGCCAGAACCACCACTAGAAGTTCAGATCGAACCACCAAAGAAAATGGAAGATGGGGAAAGCTCGATATTAGAGGATTTAACAGCAGAGGAAGCATATGCCAAAGGGTGAACATAACGTATGGAGAAACAGAGGAATGAGACGGCGGCACAGGCGGTGGTAGACGAAGGACATTTACGGCGGAACTCTGCCGGATGGTTGTTTTCTTGCTTTGGAAATGCAAATGGTATTGAGTTCAGAATTGTTTGCAGATCAAGTAATGATAACAACAAGAATAATCATGGAAATAGTAGTAGGATTTCTAATACTAGCAACAGATCAGCTTGAGTACAACCTTATTTTAGTACATGTAAAGTGTTACACACTAAATTAAAAGTTGTTTAAACTCGAGCAGTCTCCGCCATAATGGGCTAATTTTACTTATAATCTTTTTGGTAATGAATTTGTTATTTTTTCCTAATTACTCCTCTAGTTTCTATAAAGTGACCACTCGGTATAACTACATCCTTTTATTACGAGATTTTAAACTTATTTACACGGTTTTGTCTAGGTTTTTATATTTACAGAAAGTAACTAAAGTTATTTTTTTTTTTTTACAAAATGTATATAAAGTCGGTCAAATTCTATAATTTATCTACAACTTATATACACATTTTTTTTGTACATAAACCGGTCAAAAACTATAATTTATATACAATTATGTTAGTTGTAGATATTTTGTTTACTGTTTCTATACTCGACATATCAAATATATATAATTTGTTTATGTCTTCCTTTTCGAGTTTCAATATGAAATTTTAACCAAAACCACTTTGAATCTTCACCAAATTATCTCAAAATTGAGATATAAACTCCAAAAGATATTCCCAATCGTTTGCAACAACACCCAATTCAAACAAAAAATAATTTTACAAATTTTGATTTTCGAATTCAAAGCTTCTAAGCTTTCTAATGGATTAACATAGTTTCTCATTCAATATACTCGCTTATGATTAATACTATTTTGTTTATTGATTCCAAAAATTTAAAAGAAATTAACGATCTTCCCTCGTTCAAAAGTGATAACTTGTTCATTTTTAGCATAGTAAAAAAAAATATAATAGAATTGTTTGATGTCAAATCTCTTTGTTCTCGTAAAAGTATGGCTGAAGTTGAGGAGAAAAAGGTCAAACATCTTCTGTTAATTTATAATTTTAGTTTTGGGGTGGAAGAGGGAAAGAAAGTATGAAAGATTAGAGTCCAATGTATTATTTTGTATAAAATTAGTAATTATATGGACTTATAATTAAGTTAAAACCCCAATAGTGAGGGTAAATAAGTTTAAAAATTGGTATAGATAAGTAAAAATATATCTCACGCTAAAACTTAAATGCAACAACTACGGAGTATTAGTTATTTATGTACGATTGATAAATATTTTTATAATGATGTTCATGGATGAATCAAAATATTACAAAGATTTTTATTTTAGATTTAAACCACATCTGTTCGTTGTGTTTTTTAGGGTTGTCTAACGGGAGGGTACTGGGTCTTTAAGGGTTAAGGGTACGGGTTAGGGGGGTTCCTTAAGGGTACTTTTCTTAAGGGTATGGGTTAAGGGTATTTTTTTTGGTACCCTACCAGTGCCCCTACCTGTCCTAAGGGTGTGGTACTTAAGGGTGTGGTACCGGTACTTGTTTGACCAAAAAATATATATCTTGGTTCAACTAATTAAATTTATATGAATGAGAGTTAATCTTAGCTAACAATAATATCCCAAAGATGAAGTTCTCAGAAGTGCAATAAATACTACGTAGATATGTTTTAATAGCAGCGGTGGTACACAACTAATATTGAATAAGTCAAAAGAAATATTGCAGCATTAAATATTGATGAGTAGCAATAAATGGCACTTAAGTAAATAGAATGAATGAGTCACCCAAGAAAGGATAGAATCGGTGACTATCCCTTCTGACAATGATGAATGATGGACGATCCTTTGAATATTCGAGTTATTCTCGAATCTAGTGGAAAAGTGTAGACAAGAACCTTAGTGAAAAGATTGTGTTTATATGCTTTCAATAAGATCTTATTCTCTCCTTTAAAGTCAAAGTATATTTTACAAATGAATATCACATGTCCTCTATCAATGTGTCTCTTTCTATTTATAGGGAACATGTTCCTAAAAATCCTAACAGTACAAGTGCAGAGAATATCCACTAAAATATACTCTTTTGTGTCCTATCGTGAAACTAGCCGTTATAACTCTGTCAAGGGTGCTCGACCTCGGCCTCGACGACAACTCCTCGACTTCAGTCTTTGCTGACTTTTCGACCACGGCCTTCGCTGATAATTAAATTAATTCAACATGTGGCTCCCATGAATGTTTTACTAATAACATTTCGACTAAAAATGTATTTTGACACATACAATTAGTCCCTTCGCTTATCGAGGTCGTTGAGCAGACAATGTCGTTTATGATACAATTCTATAGAGTTGGCTGAGGCCGTGGTCGTGGATACAGGGCTATGTGACCTTCCGAGGTCCGCATATTTAGAATTTTTTGAATTTTCGGGGAAGTCTGTTGGAGCCATATGGTCCAAGAGAAAAAGTGACGTCATCACATCATGCGTCATAATGATGCTGTTTCCCGATGCGTTGCATCATTTAGCTGTGACCCTTGATTGGCTCTGTCGTTTCGATCTTCGTGCTTATCATGACCCGCCATTTTGATTTTGGTGCCTCTCAAACTTATAAATAGGGGAAGGTTTATTGATTTTGAAACTTTTTCCAAACTCTTTCTTCTCTTTAAGCAATAGCTTCTCCTTCATCTTATTTGCAAAATCCTTTCAACTCTCTGTTTCAGCAACTTACATTGTTCCTCATTCCCTCTTGCTTGTTATTCTCATTCCCTACATTGAATCATGTCTAACTTACCTTCTGAGGCTAGAGAGCGGAGTCGTGTTGCTTCATTGGCAGTGGTATTCCCATCCCATGGGGAGAGCGTTTCTGCCACCGTTGAGGATGCATCCTTCCTGTCGGTGGAGGAGATACTCCCACGCAACTCTGATTCCAGGTCCGATTTTACCAAGTCACCAGAGGCCACTCCTGGATCTTTTCGGTCAGCGATGTTGCTTAAGGAATTATCGGAGCTTAAGGCTAAATTCGGCCTTCCCAACCATATCAAGTTGATCCAAGCCGAGGGGGATACGGTACAAGTCCACTATCCTGGGTATTGCGCCCTCTACGCCTACCCCTTCCAAGTCGGCTACTATTTTCCCTACCTTCTGCTGGGGGAAGAGTTCTGTCATCACTACGACATTTCTCCTGCTCAGATCGTGCCATACGTTTATAAAGCTATAAATATGCTCACTAAGTTTGCTGAGCTGTCCGGGGTCGAGCTGACACTACAACACTTAATCTCTTCACTCCTAGATTTTATAGGGGAACAATGTTGAACCTTCGCCATTGAGGGGGCAAATGCTTGGTGGTCAAGATGGATGACAAGGCCAGTCGTTAATTTTGGTTTAACTCCTTTTTTGTTAGAATCGAGGATGTTGTGGCCAATGTCAACGGCTTTCCTGAGGCTTATAACTATACTCGTAAGTACTTTGATTTCTCCCCCGTGTTCATCCTGAATTTTGACTTCCCGCCTTCTTCTTTTGCAGCCAAGACCTTACAGCCTCCTTTGGACGCTCATATTTCTGACTGGGTCGAGTGGCTCCTCCCTCTTAAATGTTTTTATTAGTTTTCCTTCGCTGATTTTCCCTTTTCCTGTTTTTTCTTAGCTTCGGCCAAGGGTTCTACAAGGAGGCCGAGAGCTCCCGCACGCTCGTTCCGGAAGAGGAATGCTACTGCATCCTTAATTCTCTCCCCTGTTTCGACCGCAACTAATCCTATCTTTGTTCTCGTTCCCTCTGTCGCTGTGTCTGAATTTGTTCCCACTTTGGCCGTGGAGACTTCGGCTTATCCTCTATATTCTCTCATCGACGAGGACGATGAAACTTTGCCTAGTGATGGAGATCTACTATCTCGAAAGAGGAGGTCCGTGGATGTTGGTGACGGAGTCATCCGGGCCGTTGACGTGACGGAAGGGGACTTTTTGCTGCGTGAGACATCGACCATTCTCGTGTGGAAATGATATTGAGCCGAGTTCTGAGGTTCCGAGGTCAGTG